TCACCAAGTAGGATGTAGAGCAATGTTTTTGTGTAGTATGTTATGCCTGTTGTGCTTGATGTCCCCTGCAACCATGATTTTCCTTAACATTTCATCATGGAAATTTTTCAAAAATGCAAAATGATTCCTATTTCATGAGCCCCGTGTGCCTGTCACCCAGCCCCAACAGCGACCAGCTCCCAGCCGCCTTGCTCTGGAGCCCACCCGTTCCCGTGTTCCCAACTGGCTTTGAAGCAAGCCCAGACTATGACATGTGACTTGTCAATATTTCAGAATGTGTTTCTAGAGAAAAGGGCTCTTCATAGTCATCATCATCATAACCCTGGGAGCACACTTGTAAAATTTAACCTGGTTCCTTCCTGTCAGCTGTCCCTGTGACCTACCTCTGTGGCCTCAGCCTATTTTATTTGTTCTTTTCAAGTATTTCCACGTGTGAAATACCTGCCTTGTCTCTGTCTTTTGCACGTGTCCTGTTTCTCCCATTTGTGGTCATTGCTGAGCTGCTCATGTTTGCTCACAGGTACAAACCGTGCGCTGTTATGCAAATCCACAGTAGATGGGCTACAGGTGACACAGGTGAATGTGGACCACACCACGGAGAACGAGGATGAGCTTTTCCGCCTCTCGCAGCTGGGTGAGTTGGCGGGGAGGCTGGCCCCAGGGCCTCACCTGTCCCCTCCTTTGGTGGCCATGTAGAGAAACGCTGGGCTCTGGGACCGGCCTGCCTGGGGCCTGCCTCTGTTTCCTCATCTGTGTAACGAGGAGGCTAATGATGCCACCTACCTTGGGGAGTTGTGAGGATTGAGAGAGTCAAGACTCATTGAATGCTTCCGAGAGTACCTGGCAGGAGGTTATTGGGGTCAGTGGTGGAGATTGAGCAGAAGCCAGGGGAGAAATGAGCTTCCTTGCGGCCACCATCTTGGCTGCTCCCTCCTGTGCTAGTTGCTCTGGCTGCCATAGCTCACTACCATAGACTGGCGGCTTGCAGGTCACCTTACTCACCCGGTTCTGGAGGCCAGAAGGCTGAATCGTGGCATCACAGGGTTGATTCCTCCTGCGGGCCCTGACAGAGAATCCTATCCATGGCCCCCTTCCAGCTTGCGGGGCAGCCGGCAGTCTCTGACGGCCGCACCCTCCATCTCTGCCTCTGTCTTCACTTTGTCCCTGTGTGTCTGTGTCGACCTCCCTCTCCTTTCTCTTATAAAGACACCAGTCATAGTCCTGGGATGTAGGACCCACCCTAAATCCAGGATGGTCTCATCTTGAGATCTTTAACCTGATGACATCTGCAAAGACCCTACTTCCAAGCAGGGTCGCCTTCAGGGGCTCTGGATAAGGATTTGGACGTATCCTTTTGGGGGCTACGATTCAACCCCCTTGACTCTCCTTCCCAGCAAGCTCCCTGGGCAGACGGTGGGAGCAGACACCGCACCTGCCAAGGTGGCTCTGTGATAAGGCAGAGGGCAGTGACAGGCAGGGCTGGAGTGTTAGTGGAGCAAGGGTGTTGAGTGATGGGGTGTTGAGTGAGGAGAGCTGGGATGGTGGGCACTGAGGGCTCGGGGACTTGGGGTTAGCCATGCTCCAGGGCACGCTCAGGTTGACTTCATTTCCTGCTCAGTGGCTCCCTGTTGCCTTGTGTTCATGGATATGAAACCCTTCTGTGCTCTTTGTACACAGGGATGGGGTTGTTGAGTGTCTCTCCTTCTGATAGGTTTGGATACAGCAAAGATCAAGCAAGTGGGGATCATCTGTGGGCAGGAGAGCACCAGGCGCATTGGGGATTACAAGGTCAAGTACGGCTACACTGACATCGAGCTGCTCAGGTAGGTGGCTGGGCCAGAAGCAGAGTGCAGTCCCAGAGGCAGGAAGTGCAGTTGAAG